TCTGATAAAAGTCTGAAGCTACCTTTAGAATTCCTTCCTGTGTTGTTTGTGTGGCGCCTAGTGGGTCCTTCAAAGCTAATATTCTACTATTTCTGTGATTTGCTTTGATCCTTCGAAAGAAAAAATTTGTCATATTCTCGTTGCTTTCCCAATCTCTAACTCTAGCTCTTATTGCCATGCCTTGCGTCCTCCAGTCTGCCCATTGCTTAAGCTCTGATCTTGCTTCTTCGAGCAATTGTTCATAAAGACTCTCTCCTGGGTTGGCTATTAGGTTGAACTTTGTTATTTCTACCATTGCCTCTAAACTCTATTGTCTTGCTTTTCTTCTCCCTGCTTCTCTTCTTGAGAAACCATTCGCCCACCGACTCATATCCTGAACTGCAGCTGGGAACTCTTCGAGAACCTTTCTCCCTTCTATGTTTGACTTGATTGATTCCCATTTGGCTTTGAATTCCTGCTTAAAGGAGTCCAAATTAAGGAGGGATATGTTTAGTTTGAAGAAGCTCCTTCCCGGTGCGTTGTCTAGTGAAAAGGTGAGGTTGACATCTATGGGGTTATGATCATAGCCATCATAGTGAGGTAATCTACCTATTCCACAGTTTAGTATTGCGCCCTCTAGTGTGTCCGATATGAGAAAGAAGTCTATTCTAGAGAATGTGGTTCTGCCTAGACTGCTTTTCCTGATGCATGTGAAATCCCTTTTCTGAGGGTTGCGGACTCTGTATGGGTCTATAAGGTTCTTTTCTGTTGCCAACTGGGCTAGTGTTATCCCTGCTGCATCTAGGGAGTTGACTTCCGCCCACGAGATTCTGTCTATTTGTGGGTCCTGGACCGTGTTCCAGTCCCCTACGAGTATGGTATGGGATTGCGCTAGAGTTGACTCCCCTATCTATTTGTGGGTCCTGGACTGTGTTCCAGTCCCCTACTAGTATGGTATGGGATTGCGCTAGAGTTGACTCCCCTATTTTTGTGAAGAAGTCTGCTCTCTCCGCTGCTACATTTGGGGCATATATGTTTACTAAGGTGACGTCTTCTCCCCTGACACTGAGTTCTATTCTTGACCACCTACCCTCTGTTAGGTCTGCTGACGTAGATTTGATTTGAAGATATTTCGCCTTTAATACGTTCTTGTGTACTAGCGTGATTACTCCCGCTGATGCCGGTTGTGGACTGTAAGCTGTAACCTCTACGGCGCAGTTTCTTAGTCTATTCATGATTTGCTTTTTTACCGCTAAATGGGGTGATGTATTGGTTAAGTGTGTCTCCTACAGACATAGCACGTACGGGGGATTTGGTCCATTCCATCCTGTCGTGTTGAGGAAGCAATGCCACTTTTCCTGATTTGATAGGATTGTCGCTAGTCCCCTCACATTCCAGGATTGGATCCACAGCTCCCCCCTGGAAGTTGCCATGATTTATCCTTTCTTAGTTTTTCTGGTGCTGCCTGCGATTTACTCTCTAGGAGCTGGAGCTGATTTCCGGCTCTCCCTCGAACGGTGACAGCAACGTTGGAAGCTCCTCCGCCTCCTGTGCCATCACCTGCGAGTCCAACAATGTTGTTAAGGCTACCGCATTTTGAGTCATCATAGCGTCACTTCCCAGAGCAGTAACGGGTACCTCTGTCAGCCACCACCAAGGCTTCCACCTTAATCCATCGTGCAGTTCCGCTTTATGGTCCAGACAAATCAGTAGTGGCCGTGCGTCGAACTGTTTGTTCCTTCCCCTCCTCCCTTACCTGTGCCTCCCCTAGGACTGCCCCCCCTTCCTTTGCAGCTCACCTGCTAAGCCCATAAACACAACTTCTCCCCCCTTGCTGATCTTTTTCAGCAGATCCTCCCTTTTCTGCCCCCGCTGCCATCTAGGGATAGACAGATCTTCGTGAACTGCCACGTTCCACTGTTTGGCTAGAGGGTTTCTGCGGATGGGAATTACTGCACGAGAATGCAGAAGGGTACTTGCTTCCTTCCTAGCTCTTTCCCAGAGCTTGTCCTGATCACTGCACTAGATATCCCGGACCGTCACTGTGCGCAAGGACATTTCCCTGTTTAGGTCGACCAGGCGTGCATTCTGCGCTTCTAGGGCCCGTAACTGAATGCCTAGGTGAGCGATAGATGACAGAAACTTGTCTGCCCCCTCCTGATCCTTCCCCTTTCCCTGTTCTTCGAGGATAGGGGTTGGCTTATACTTCTGCAGCCTCCTCCCCTTGAGCTTTTTGTTCTTCTTTTCCTCTCCCTCCTCATCTCCCTCCATAGGTGGGCAATTTTTTTTTTTCCTCACCCTCGACCCAACCCGCCCAATTTTTTTTCTTCCCCATCCACCCGGCCCAAGAATTTTATTTTTTACTTTTAGACGACCCCACCCACCCAAAATATTTTTTGAAATTTCAGCCCCACGCCCGATCCGCTCGTGACCCAAAAAAAGCCCTCACCCACACCCACCCGCACCCGTAAAAGTATCATCACCCGCCCGCGTCCAATACCTAAATTTTCTTCACCCGCACCCACCCGCATCAGCCCGCACCTGCCCATGCCAGTCCCTTACACCATCACAATTTCATCGGCAACATAGCATTGCAACAAAGACAACTGAAATCCTATTATTAAAACAACGACAACATCAACAATGAGAGCACCTGCACTGCTGGAGCACTCCGCGTTACTTTATCAGGACCTGGGCAACTGAATCCAGACACTTTTTTCTTTGGCTCTCAACCTCAAGCCCGACGTACTACACAAGGGAGGAGGGGGGGAGGGGGGGCATAATTTTCGGGTCATCCTGGGTCTATGGGTCGGGTGACCCAGGCCAAGACATCACCCGCTTGCCACCCACCCAGCGGGTGACTCAGGTCAAATCTTCACCCGCCCGTCACCCAGAAAGGCATGCTGGTTGTGCCCGCCCATAACCCACCCAAGACAACTCATGTAGACCCTAAATCCGACCCATCACCCTGTGGGTCGGGTGGGTGCAGGTGGGTGCGGCTCTGGGCACCCGGTGCCCAGCTCTGTCTCCCTGTCCCACCTCCATTTCCTGGTCTTCTTTGGAAGCGCAGTATTTTTCTGCAAAATAAGTTGCCAAATCCTCTTCCTTTTCCAACGGCGCAAACGGGTTTTCGGTCAGCGTGATGTGCGTAGTTGGGTTGGCTATTTCTGCCTTTGTTTTGTTCTTCTACTCTTCTCTATGCAGAATTAGCTGCAGCTCGTAGTTGTCATCCCTTTCTTTTTCAAAGAAGTTAATGTATTCCCTCAGCTCCCTCTCCTGCATTCCTTCCCAAGGGTAGCCCTCCTCTCTGTCCTGCTCTTGTTCTTCCTCTACCGATACCCTGTCTGTTTGCCCTTCGGTGTGCTTCCTCTTGTCCCCAACCACCGGGCTTGGCAGCTCTTCGTTTTCCCCTGTTTCTGACCCTGCTCCTCCTTCCCCCATAGATTCATCAGTCCCTTCTGCCTCCTTCTCCTTCCCCTGTACGGAAGATCCATGTCCCTTCCGCCGCCTCCGCACGTAGTTTTTTTGCGCTTGGTTCTCCTCTCTTCCTCTTTCCTCCCCCTGGTACCTCTTCACTGCTTCCACCCATTCCCTTTCTGTGTTCTCCTGCACTGATTGGAGATCAGCGCAGAGGTCCCTCTCCCAGATTTCGTGTTTCAATGCCTCAATGTTTATTACTGGGTCCCTGGTGAAATTTTTGGGAGCGTTCTTTCCCGTCATCAATGTTTGCCATCTGCTCTCAAACGGAGGGTAGACATCCGGCTTCGGTGTCGGCTCACCCTGAATGGTCCAGACCCAGTCTGGAGTATCCAGGTTGTCGTTAAAGACCCAGCCTGCATACTGTGCCTCTGGTATGTACCAGTAACCCCTTTTGTCGGCTACTTCCTGCAGGCTTGCCGTTTTCAGCACTTTCGGTTTCACGCTCTCTTTGGATTTTGGGCAGCTTGTGTCCGTCCCCAGATGCCCCCTTTGCCTGCATTTGGAGCATAGGGGGTTGGTTTTGCTGGAAACCGTTATCCTGATAACCTTGTTTTCTTGCGAGAAAAACCATTCATCAGGAATGAATGGTAATGTACTGTCTCCTGTTTCCAGTACTACCGTTATCTGATTGTGTTGTGGAGTGAGGAAATCGGGTGTTGAAACGCTCCAGTGGGCTTCTTTAAAGTGACCAAACTCCATTCTCACCCTCTCCTTTATGCAGCCATGCATTCCCTCAGGTACGTTATCGAACTGGATCCAAAAGTGTTCTTTAATTAGATCCTGCCTATACCTGAAAGGGGTTTGTTGAAAATTTGCTGCTTGTTTCCACGGGTGCACTGTGACCACTGAGGAGTTGCACGTGAAGCATTTATTTTTCAAAAAAGAAGCGAGTGCTTCCTCCATACACAACACCATGATAACGTTTCTTGATCTTGGGTGGAATGATACTCTCGGTTCTTGTCCTTGGATTGCTTCCAAACTCTTCAGCTTTTCCCAGATCCACTTCAGTTTGGACTGTCTATCCAATTCCTGACTTTTTTTGACAAAAGTGAACAGAACAGCATGTTTGTGGTGAAGCTCAATTTGCTTGGCTGTTAGTTCTTTTGGACATTCATAAACTACCACCTCTTCCTTGTTGTTCCCTCCATAGTCGATGCTTTTGGTGGTTTTCACTAGTGGGGTCCTGGTCTGTTCTGCCAGCCAGTTTTGTGTCTCGATTCCCATCCCCTCCATTACTGACTTGGACTGGCTGCCCTTCGGTTTCCTCCCTCGCCCTTTGTCTCGACTACCACTGCCCACCTGCTCCCACCCGTTGGTACTACCCCTGCCTTCAATCCCGTTGACACTCCAGTATAGTCTGAACCTCCCCTCGCTCCTTTTCTATTAAGAATGTGTGGAAGGAGACGAAGTTGGATTCTGAGTAGGGGCAGGGCTCGACCTTGTGTCGGGTCTCAAAATCTGAGTGAAAGCTGAGATCTGGACACAAAACTAGAGCGGGGGTAGAATTGGGGATGGGGATAGGGTTGGGCTTGGGGATATAGTCGGGATCGAGGGACACTTCCGCAGGGGGGATAGGGTCGGGATCGAGGCTAGAATCAGGTTCGGATGTTGCGTCGAAATCAGAGCTAGAGACAGGATGGTGGGAAGATTCCGGATCGGGGATAGGAACGGGATCGAGGATAGGATCGGGATCGGGGATAGACTCGGAATCGGGGATAGGATCGGGATTGGGGATTGGATCTGGATCGGGGATTGGATCTGGATCGGGGATAGGAACGGGATCGGGGATAGGAACGGGATCGGGGATAGGATCGGGATCGGGGATAGACTTGGAGTTGGGGATAGGATCGGGATCGGGGATTGGATCTGGATCGGGATCGGGGATTGGATCGGGATCGGGGATAGGATCGGGATCGGGGATTGGATCTGGATCGGGGGTAGGGTCGGGATCGGGGGTAGAACCGGGTTGGGGATTGGAGTCTCGTTCAAGGTCGGCGACGGGAGCGGGCGGAGTCGACGGGATCGGGGGTGGTGACGAACTCGGGGATGGTGACGGTGGGACAGGAGGGCTGCTTGTTTCATGGGAAGATTCCGGATCGGGGATAGGATCGGGGTCGGGGATTGGATCGGGATCGGGGATTGGAACGGGCTCGGGAATTGGAACGGGGTCGGGGATAGGGTCGGGATCGGGGGTAGAACCGGGCTGGGGATTGGAGTCTGGTTCGAGGTTGGCGACGGGAACGGGCGGAGTCGACGGGATCGGGGGTGGTGACGAACTCGGAGGTGGCGACGGTGGGACAGGATCGACGGGATCAGGCAGCGCACCGCTGCCGGAGTCTTCTACTCTGGCTTGGTGGTGAGATTACTCAGACCAATCGGGGAGTGGGCGGGTGTGGGACGAACAACTAGGAGAAGATAATGGTTTGTGCTAAAAAATTTAGAGCGAGGATGGGATAGAGATGGTGGGAGCAGAAACGGGATGGGAATGAGGTCGAGATAGGGCAGGGGAGCCAGCTGAAGAAAGGGAGTGGGATGAGGGAGTTAGTAGAATGTTTATGTGAACGCTCTCACTCTGATGGACCGGTCTTCGTCTTCGTAGGTCTTGGGAAAACGATGATGGCTGAAGGACTCTTCTTTGGCAATGAGGCTGTTACCGTCAGGGATGGCCCGGGTCTAACACACTCATCCCTCCTCTGATTTGCGCGTCATATCCGGGCCAGGGACGCTTCTTCGAACCTTCGAGAAGAATTGGAGATGGTCGTCGTGTCTTCTTCAATGCTGTTGGTGCGCGGGTGCTGATACGCCTCCGAGCGATGGCGTTCTCACTCTGGCTCCCACTCTCTCTCTCTCTCTCTCTCTCTCTTCCTCACTCTCTCTCTCTCTCTCCCTCTCTCTCTCTCTCTCCTTTTCTCTCTCTCTCCCTCTCTCCCTTTCTCCCTCTCTCTCTCTTTCTCTCTCTCGCTCCCCCCCTCACTCCCCCACTCTCCCTCTCTCTCCCTCCCTCTCTTCCTCTCTCCCCTTTCTCCCCTCCTCGGATGACTCTTTGGATCGTGACGCGCCTCAGCGCGCCATCGTGTACTTTGACTGACCTTGTAAGGTGCGGGCCAGAGGCGCTCAGCAAGGCGATGGCCTCTTGATAGTCTTCTTCGTACGTATGCACTCTATTCTGCGTGGCGATGAGGATGTTGGCTAGCGATGGTTGGGTGGTGACGGTGCGCGCGGACGAGGCACGCACGTCGTAGCGATGGCCTCCTTCGTTTCGAATTCGAAACGAGGTGTGGCGCCGTCGTTGCGGTCGCAGGCGCGGGCGCGAACGCTGCGGTCTTGCGCTAACCGAAGGCGCGGGCGCAGCAAATCCCCGTTTACAGTCCTCCTTGCAATAGGTTCTGATTAGTGCCGTATCGAAAAAATTGTCGGGGAAGCTTTTTGCCCGAAATTCTTGCCGCAGTGTCAGAACCTTGGATATAAATGGGTAGTTATGTTCACAAGTAACTTGGGACATAACTGAGTTAGAGCTAGAGTTACCCTTAACTTAGTTATGTGCCAACACTGCCAAGTAACTCAGAGTAGCTTGGGACATAACTGAGTTAAGGAGCCACCTTAACTCAATTATATCCCAAGTAAGCTCAGTCATGTCCTTTAGCGGTCAGAAGAGTTAACTTGGGGGCTCTCCTCCTGGTCGATTGATTTCCCTTACCTTCCTCTGTAATCTGTATGTAGGATGGACTTTTCTCAAATGAACCGCAAAATTAAGAATTTACTTTCAATTTTAACTGATAATGGATGTATTTCTTGTTGTTCAAAGAATCAAAACCAATACTGGCAAATTGTGTGTTATTAACTTATTACTAGTTATTAGACACCCTCGGCTGCAGACATTCTGTCCTTCTTCCCCCTCCTCCCCCTCCCTACCCCCCGACCTTCCCCTCTGGTTTAAAAAAAAAAATCCAAAAAAACTCAGCCCAATGTTCTGGCCATTGTCCCTTTTGTCAGTGACTCCCCCAAAAAAAAAACGAACACTACTTTCCTACCCCCATTTCCTGAGCCTTCTTTTGGAATCAGATTCGCCTTTTTGCCCATTTTGCAGGATTATATCCTGAAGAGTTTGGAGAGCAGGACATGTACATGTATCTGAAACTTTTGCATAAGGCAGGTCAGAAGGCTGGCGCTCTTCTGCCAGAGGCAGAAGATGGATCGCAATACATCAACATCGCCTTTATCTCCCCTCTCATCACAGAGGACCCAATTGTTGTATCGCGACTGGGCGGCATCGCTAATGCTCAAGATCTTGTTGACAAGGTGGTGGCAGAACATGCACTCACTGATAAGCCTTCAACTGAGGTACAAGCTGATGAACTTTCACAACTATCTTTCCACACTGTGCCTTTCTTTTTTGTTTTTGTTTTTTCCCTTTTCTTTTCAAAACAACAATACCCTTTCTATTCTGGAAGGAAACAGTGCAGTTGCTTATCACCGGCAAGCATAGTTTATACATCCGAAGAAGGGGGAGAACAGACGAAAGGGAAGATTAGCCTTGCCGTTGTGGCACCAGTCACCTGGCAAGGTGGGGGACTGCTACAGGGAGTCCGGCCTTTCCCAGGGGGCTGCCCTTCAGGCCGGGAGGCTTACTATCAGCACCCAGTCACGCAGAAGGGCAGCCCTCAGAATGGCGGGGGGGGGGAGGGGGGTAGGCTGCCGTGGCGTAAAGGCGGTAGATGTCGGGGGGCTCATGGCGCGCGCGGCGGGGGCTGGGGTTGAGCGGTGGGCCGGGGGGGGTTGATGTGGGGGGGGGGGGGGGGGGGGGGGGGGGGGGGGGGGGGCATCCCGAGCAGTTCCACAGGCCGCCTATCAACCTGCCATCACCCAATCATCGCGTCCTCTATGAGACCAACTCTCACCATGTCTCCCTTCCCCACCTTGTCTTGAAACAGTTTTCACCTTTGGCAGTAGCCGATGCAGATCCCAGGGGTCGATCCCTTGACCTCAGCTTACCTGTGTAC